TGGTACTAACAAGGAAAGGTGGGGAGATAATGAAACATTTTTTATTACCTAGTTAGGGTAGAAATGGTACTAACAAGGAAAGGTGGGGAGATAATGAAACATTTTTTATTACCTAGTTAGGGTAGAAATGGTAATAGCTAGGAAAGGTGGGGAGATAATGAAACATTTTTTATTACTTTGTTAGTGTAAATATGGTACTAACAAGGAAAGGTGGAGAGATAATGAAACATTTTTTAGTTAATTTGTTAGTGTAGATATGGTACTAGCTAGGAAAGGTGGGGAGATAATGAAACATTTTTTATTACTTTGTTAGTGTAAATATGGTACTAACAAGGAAAGGTGGGGAGATAATGAAACATTTAACTTTGTTAGTGTAGATATGGTAATAACAAGGAAAGGTGGGGAGATAATGAAACATTTTTTATTACTTTGTTAGTGTAGATATGGTAATAACAAGGAAAGGTGGGGAGATAATGAAACATTTATTAATTTGTAAGTGTAGATATGGTACTAACAAGGAAAGGTGGGGAGATAATGAAAATTTTTTATTAATTTGTTAGTGTAGATATGGTACTAACAAGGAAAGGTGGGGAGATGAAACATTTTTTATTACTTTGTTAGTGTAGATATGGTATAACAAGGAAAGGTGGGGAGATAATGAAACATTTTTTATTACTTTGTTAGTGTAGATATGGTACTAACAAGGAAAGGTGGGGAGATAATGAAACATTTTTTATTACTTAGTGTAGATATGATACTAACTAGTGTTGTCAGAAAATTGGAAGATTAATAGTACCAGGTTTGTTTTTGATGAGACAATGAAAAACGGAGGAAAATGCTTGGTTTCACTGTTAAAAGAAAAATCACAAAAATATGACCAACGTATGTATAATATTAAATGGGCTTGAAAGTTATAGAACTGTTTATTTCTCATAAATGAAACATTTTTTATTACTTTGTTAGTGTATATATGGTACTTAATTGAGCTTGTTGTGTCAAAAACAACATACGTAGTGCAGAATTAAAGTTGTCATGAGCAGTTAATATATAAGTAAAGTACTAATTAGTACAATTCATACTACTTTTTGTTTCTGTCTAATATATCTTGAGAGTTAAGCTAAGTTCCTGATGACTGGAATTTAACATAAGTTCTCAGTTGATATTAACCTTTTATTTTATTCTGAGACCACATTTTTCATTTGATAGTTTCAGTAGGTTAAAGCATGTTACAGTTCACAAGATTTTATTCACGTTTGTGTGCTCATTCTTTCATTTTGTGGTAAAACCAACAAGTGAATTTATTTTTCACTTTTCAATAGTTAACATGGCATTGTTAGTTAATTTTAGTATTCAAACATGTCTTTGTTGTAGAGTGACCAAACATCCTGGTTTTGCCAGGACAGTCGCATTTTTTGGTAGTTCTTGGGATGTACAAAACATCCTGGTTTTATGATAAAGACGTCAAATTGTCAGTCACGTCGATTTATGACTGTAATAGGCCTACTTGCTCATTGTTGTAACACATACTCTCCTGCTGCCAAACTCTTTTGAAAGTTCAGTCTGTGTGTGGTGAGAAATGCAGGTCTGTGTAGTTTTTTTTCACTTATTAGTAAGTACTGTAGTAGACCTATAATAGTTGGGGAATGAGTGGTGGGTGGTTTAACATCAGGGACTGTTCTCTAAGATATTTTTTATAACTGAAAATATTTAACCAATCATAGTGTCAAAATGCTGAAAAGAAGGTGTGTACTTTCAGATACTTTGAAAACAGACTTCCATTTTTAAAAGAGAAATAAGTTAGATGATGAAGTTGAGTGTACTATTTTCAAAGCTTTGTTTTCAACGGCATGCGGTGGCAGATTGGACTTTATAGATCAGCTATTTCAAAAACAGTGACAATGTTAATATATTATGCAAGAGTTTAATAAATTTAAAGTAAATTAGATCTTTATAGATCAACTATTTCAAAAACAGTGCCAATGTTAATATATTATGCAAGAGTTTAATAAATTTAAAGTAAATTAGATCTTTATAGATCAACTATTTCAAAAACAGTGCCAATGTTAATATATTATGCAAGAGTTCAATAAATTTAAAGTAAATTACATAAAAGTTAAATTATTTCAAATTTGTTATAACCATTTTGAAATCAGTGGCAATGGTTGGGCTGTCCCAGTTTTTTGTTTTGTAAATCTGTAAAGTGTAGTATTGAAAAATGACATTGTAAATAAATTATAGTATTCAAAGAGAGCTAGCAAACTAATAATGTTGTCAGAAAATTGGAAGATTAATAGTAACAGGTTTGTTTTTGATGAGAAAATGAAAAACGGAGGAAAATGCTTGGTTTCACTGTTAAAAGAAAAATCACAAAAATATGACCAACGTACGTGTAATATTAAATGGGCTTGAAATGGGCTTGCTAAGAAACAAACTAGCTAAGGAAGAAATTAGTCTTTATTTCACCACTACTTAATGTGTTTGATCACACAAGATATCATTAATCTATAAATTTTCATTGGCAAAACTTGGGAGTTTTAGAAGAACTAATACTGATATTTTTTGATTCCTATTCCAAAGTATGTGTAGACAAAAGATTTCTTTAATATTAAGTAAATATTCAAAATCACTATAAACATTAATGAATTTTCTTGGTCTTATTATCT